AACGACTACAAGAAAGATGACTACAAAAAGGATGACTACTACAAGGATGATGACTACTACAAGAAGGATGACTACAAAAAGGATGATTACTACAAGAAGGATGACTACAACAAGAAGAAGGAATATAAACGTCATGACTACTACAAGAAGGATGACTACAAAAAGGATGACTACAAAAAGGATGATTACAAAAAGGATGATTACTACAAGAAAGACGACTACAAAAAGGATGATTACTACAAGAAAGATGACTACAAATACTAAATTAATTAAAAGGAAAAGCCCATAACAAAATTTTCTTTAAATGTAGCTTTATTTGTGCAAAGAAAAGTTTAATTTTTTGTAAATATTTTATTTAAACGGGCTCCATATTCCTGTACATAAATTTCATTTTATTTCGCGTTTCATTTTCATCGTAAAAATTTCTATAATGTATATCTTTTAGGTGATATTACATAAATAAAAATATTTTTGGTGATTTTTTCTTAAACTACAAGGTCAAATGACTTTTCAAAACGGCTTAAAACCATAATGATATCCAATGATCCGATCAATCGATGGAAAGTTAAATGTTTAATAAATTATGTTGCTTTTGTAGCCTTTAAATGGAGATTTTCTAAATAACAAGCTATTTTGGTAAAAAAGATTTTACCCTAACATTTGTCAGTCTCGTAACAAATGGGATGAAATCAGAAATCTTTGCAGCGTTCCATTAGCATAACATTTTAATTCCCGAGCAAATTTAATTTTTGCTGGTTTCACAGGAAGTTTATCAATGAAAGTTATACTATATGCGTCTTTCGTATTAAATACACATAATGTACATTATAAAAGAACGAACTCACTAAAATAGATTCTTTCTCCTAATGATTTTCTGATTCTCGGGGAGTTCATATGGAAAATTAACCAAATTTTTATATTTAAGAAAATGAATATGTTCCAGAACGTAATTAAAAATTACAAATAAAAACCACGAATTATTTTAAATAATTATATATTTAAGTAATAAATATTTTTTCTTGATACATTTGAATGTTACCGTTCTTGATACATTAAAACAATAACCCGAGCTTCCGGAAAGCAAAACTAATTGAAAATGGCCATAAACAATGAACAAAAGATAAAAATTTACAAATCAAAGGTATTAATTAACTTATTTTGCAGAATTCTTTTTATTTTTTGATTTTGCTAACCTTTTCTCCCTCCTTTCTATAAAGTTCGATAAAATCAAATCATTATTAAAATTAAATTTATTTTCATTAGCAATACTCTCTCAGTTCATAGTTATAACCTTATTTCAATCTGAATTATCATTTCGTAATTCTAATTTAAATGAACTTTTAAATATTATAAACAATAATTGTCCAAGTTATCGAAGGCGGTTTGTTTATATGAACTTCATTTCTTTTGAAAATTATTTATTTGTCGCATATCAGGCATTTTTAACGTATTTAGGATTGAATTCGGTAAGTTAATTCTTAAGTTACGAATTATTTGCAACACGAGAATCAATCTTTTTTTCTTTCCCCTAGATATTTAACCAGGACGTATTGCAAATTCGTGCGTATGCCCTCATGAATTTCGGAGGATACATCTATACAATTGTAAGTTTCCTAAACTGTTGATTGGCATATTTCGATTTATTCATCGTATCCTATTCATCGATCACAGATACAGATGATTGAAGTAAAAATTCCAGTTGAATTTGCGAGAAAAGCATGTTTAGTCCAAATTGATTCCAACATAATGGGAATCGAATTACCACAATTAATTACATATACATGTTTTGTGATGTTAAACGGTTATTTATCGTTCAAAATTTATCAGCCATTCGGTATAAAGAATTATTTTCAAAAGAAAATTGGTCAAGACGAAATCCTCTTGCCATTATTAAAAAGGCGACTTTTATTAAAGATATTATTAAAATTTACCGCATTCTTTTCAACAATATATTCTATAATTTTCGTTTATGCTTTATTGAAATTCATCATAAACGAAAGTTATTTAATGGTTTTTGTTCAATTGATTTATTTATTTATTACCGCTTTATCCATTAAATTAATTCAAATCGCTTTTATTTCTGTAAGTGTAATAATTATTTGTTATGCATTTTGAGGTTTGAAATTTGTTAAAAAATTTTCTTTTTGAATATTTTAATCTAGATGGATAATGAAACTGGACGCGAAATGTCATATTTCATATATTTATGGATCATTGTTTTATTTTATAACATTTCCTTGTGCGCTATTGGAATCATGTACTTAACATCTCATGGATGGTATTTCATATTTTTTTATTGTAAGTAATTTAAGTATTTTAAAAAATTAAAAAAAATCTTTTGAAAATAAGGACCAACCTTTTTATCTTCCCCTTTGCTTTAGCTTTCGTGTATTTTAGTGTATCTTTTACCTCTTTTATGTGTGCCTGGAATGTTAAAAATGATTTCGGGAGAGGATTAAAAGAAGCAAGTAAGTAAAAATCAATCAATTTAAATCCAATCTTAATCGCAACTTTGAAATGTTAATTTAATTTATTTTTACCATTTTATTAGTAGCAAGCAATAAAATGAAAAGTAAACAACTCCCAAACATTCAATCAATTGTTATTGATGATGATGAAGTACAACAACAATCATGAAAATAACATTTTCTTTAAAAACCATTATTTGGCTTCCCTTTGACTTTTTATTCTTCAAATGGCATATACGCAAACGTGCTTTCCGAGAAAAGATTTAGAAAATACGTTTGCAAAACTGTTAATTAATTGTATAATTTTAGAATGTTTTTTAATATAGTAAACGCAGATAGAAACCAAAGTTTCGATACATTCAATTTTTGATCTGATTGGTTAATTAATAATTTTACCCTCAAAGTTGTTGTTAAATTAATCGGGTAAAATTAAAATCTTCTGATTTGATATACCGTCATAATCTCCTCCATTTGTTAAATGGTTAAAAGTTTGGTTAGATGATTTTCTGAATTAGTTTAAAATTATATCATCGTATGATTCACAAATGACGTTATATTAGGTTACGAACTTCATTGTAAGTAGGCGTCATTATCAAATATGGGAGTAAAGAGAAAAAAAGGTTATTTTTTTGAAGATCGTCCTTATACCTAGGATTTTATATTTTTTTTTTTTTTTTTAAAAAAAAAGTCCTCCGTCTTTTTATATAAATTATATAAATTATAATATAATTTTTTAAAAAAATGTGCTTTCTAATAACTGACGAATTTAAAGAACATATGAAAAGAAAAGTACGTAAGAATCAAAAGAATAAAAAATCGAATTCAGTAATAAAAATTGATTTATCAATGCTTTTTTCTTTTTTCGATTTATTAACAAAAGTGGAACAGATTAATCTCCTCGAAATGGACAAAATCATTCGCCTTAATACTTTGTATTCAATTTGTTCTAGTGATGATTTTTCAAATAAAGATATTAATAAGAAATGGTGAATTATATAATAATAGTCGGTTTAAATATTTATATGAATGTGATAAGAAGGCGAGAAATCAAGATCCTCGTTCAAGCAATTATTTATTCGTTTTCTCGCTTATACAAAGTTCTATTTTTATGATTTTACAATATTATCAGATTTATTTTGGAATAAATGCGGTAAGAAATTTTAACTTTGAACAAGAATAAAATGAGCTAGGAAATCCTTTGTTTATTATTATTATATATATATTATAGATATTTCATGAACACATAATTCAAATCATTACACTTGCGGTTTTAAATGTTGGAAGTGCTGTATACACCGTGGTAAGTAATAAGTCAACTATTTTGACAAATTGGTTTTAGAAAAAATTTTCATTAACGATATATTTTTGTCAAAAGGTTCAATTGCTCGAAGTTAAAATTCGAGTAAACAGAATACTAAATCAAAAGAAATGTGAAATAACGCAGGAATTAATAGATAATGATGAAAGTTTATCAAAAGGTTTCAACATGGATTTATTCAAAGTAGATTTGCCGCAAATAATAGTTTTGTCAATATTTTCTATCGTAACCGTATTCATAACATATAGATTATATCAACAATTTGGTTGGAGTATTTATAAGAAAATTGGTGGTGACTTTAAAATTCAGAGTGAGTGTTATTTGATCATTTGAATGACTTAAAGATACATTATACTTATCCTCTTTACGTGAAAATTTAGGGATTTATAGGAATAATTTGATATTTATAATGTTACTCAAATTGAATATGTTTTTTTGGATAATTTATATAATTCCTACTATAATATATTCAACACATATATATGGTTTAAACTTAATTAATAAGATCTTGATTATATATCATGTATTTGCAACCATACTTGCTTTGGCCTTACAAATAGTAGCATATAGATCTGTGAGTAATCTTTATCCTCATTTTATATTATAACCTTGCACTTCTATTAAAAAACGGAAAAGTTAAAAATATATGTATTTTGTTTTTAGGTGAGTAATGAATCAACGAAAGGGATGATAGCATTTATTGCATTATGGATATTTATCATAATTGATTATTGTCTATTAATTTATTCATCTATTGTTTTATTACTACTTGGATCATATTTTTTAATAATATTTAGTAAGTTTCATTTATCGTTGTTCTGCATAATTTTTATTAATATTCTTTGAATTGAATTTAATTTAATTAATTAATTAATAGCATGCGTCTTTTTGGTAATCGCTATGGTTTGTAAACTTATAAAATTTCCTTGATTTAAAAATAAATAACTTTTTAAGTTCGCTGTGATTAATAAATATTTTTTTTTTGTTTATTAGATAACGTTTATTTATGCTGTTATAGTAGTAACAAATTTTGATAGAGGATTATTAGAGATTAGTAAGTATCTAGAATAATGTCCCTTGAAATCTGGCTTTTATGTTAACTTTTTTAAATTTTATTCTTAGTTGAAAATTATAAGGATAGGATTAAACCAAGACCGACTAATATTAATATTCCGGCAATGAATGTAACGACATTAAATATTCCGTCAGCACAATCAATACATTCGCATTCGTCTGTGATATCTCCATCAAATGATAAGATTAGTTATGTTAGTGATGAAAGTAAAGACGAATCACGTTGGACTATTGACGATTAAAAAACGAAATCCCCATCATAAATATCTTTATATATATAATTTATAATATTATTAATATTAATATTCTCATATCATTTTAATTAACCAAAATTATAATTATATCATTAATTAACACATAATGCACATGTATTTTATAATAAATGTAAATTTATTCTCAAATTCAACAATTTGCCGAATGTCAAATTATTATCTGATCTTTTTTAAAAAAATTCCTCTTTTTAATTGATGAATCAATAAATTTATATACAAGAAAGTTCTCAATAGATACTTTATGTAGAATCTATTGTAGATTTTTATATTCATTGATTTTTAATTTATAATACGATACTATCTCTTTTGAAAGATCTTTGTAAATACAGTTATTCGTTAAATAAACTGACCATTCTAGAGATTTGTCAAATACTTTTAATAATATTCTTTCTTCTTTTTAACGAAGGGACCAAAACCCCCCCAAAAAATTCTTAGACCATATGCTATTTTAAGTACAAATGGAAGAGAATAATACAACTTGTTAGAAAATGAGTTAAGTGGAATTCTTCATTATAAATAATCTAAAAAAGATAAGAAATAAAGGATTACTCATTGGCGCCTTCAAATAATCATCGATTTTAAGGTGCGACATTAAAGCAGGGCTTTGCAAATTAACGAAATATAAGCTCATTATGTGTTCTACAAATAGTTGCAATATTTGGATCAAAAAAAAATTAATTTCTTCTTTATTCCGACCAAATATGAAATGGATATTATTAAACGCATTTCTACTACTTCCACTTAAGACATCAAAGATGATTTTGATATTAAAACTAAAATAAATAACAAGGAACAACATTTTCGGTTGAACATCCGATTTTTAGACGAATGTATCTCTCTCAAGGAAATATATTAAGAAATTCTTTACATGAGTCCATACCTTTATGTATTTGGTCGTTGTTAGTGTGGTATTTAAAGTTCATAAGAATATGTTACTTGATAAATATTTTGCGAGTTCAGTTGACGCCATCTGTACCAACAAGCGGTTCATATCATTATTTCCATAAAGATTCTAATACAAACACTTTTATAAAATTATTCCGTGTAGATATCGCTCAAAATTAGCGTTCATGGTCAAAGCCAGCAACAAAGACAACAAAGACCAAATGGATTATTTGTTTCATTTATTTTTACGAGAACTTAACCATAGTATATCATGCTTGCTTAAAACAAAATTAAGGTTTAATATAACTTATTACAACGTCAAAATATTAACTTAGCAAAATCAAGAAGAGCACTCTGGTGAATCTCAAGTAAAAAGGTTCTTTATATCAATCATATTAAAAAGAATCAAAACCTCGTATATTTCTACAACTGTATTCAGGTGTTATTATGATGATAAACAATGAACCTTAATTTTCCCGATCTATAATCCTTGAATAACATTTCGTTATTGTGAACAAAAATGATTCTTTTTAACACGAAAAAGGTAGACCACGAAAACTAACTGTACCCTCTTACCATAAATGCTCATGATTTGTAGATCAGTATGTTTCCGTTTTCGGGAATTTTTTTATTTACATATGGCCGCACAAGTTGCTTTTAATTGTTAGTATGGTATGGCTTTTTTTTCTTCTGTATAGATTGTCAATAAAACAAAAAGAAGGAAACAATGAAAACAGGCCTAGAATTCTATTTATAAGAATTTCATTTCTAGAAGCAGGCTATCAAGGTCTTACCAATTTGGAAGAAATGTTTGACGACTTGCATGTATGCGGGGACCATATATAAATAAAAAAGGACTCGTGCCTACCATAAAAAAAAATAAAAAAAATTTCATTTTTTTTTTATGTCAATTTTCCGTAAAATAATAAATGTCGAAGTTTCATCAAATTTTTAGTAAAGGTAAAAAACGTCAACCCGTTAATGAGAGTGATATTGGACCATTTGAGAGAGAGTCAAAGAATCCTCGTATCGAAATTCATGCGGAGGATGGAAATGCTATGGTTATAGATTCCATAGATGATGCTACTACTTTCCCATCTCCATCTCCATCATCTTCGTCATCATCTTCGTATATTAATAATGACCCAACACAATATCCTCAACACTATTTACAAACGAATGAAGTATCAAGTAAAATGAAAAGGTTATGTTTAGAAAATACTGAAAACAATCTGGACGCATGTCAAAAAACAATAGAAATTACCAATATTGTAATACCGTTAGCGAGTACACTTGCATCTGACGTCGCTCAAAACTTCGCATTATTTGCACCATTAATCAATTTATTCCTTGAATTAGGTAAAGAAATCATAAAATTATACGAAAAGGCCGAACATAATAAAAGTCTTTGCAGTTTCCTTTTGCAAAGATGTAATTGTGCAGTAGCTGCAATTAAAGATTTAGATATTAGGAAAACCGAACATGCAAATTTCTTTTCTAAACAAGAAAATCTTGAATTATTTAGAGTGTTCATTAAATGTATGAAAAGAATCAAAAAATTTATTGCGGATGTTAGTCAATTAAGTAAACTTAAGAAATATATTTTGGCTAATAATATTGAGGATACTTTTACCAAACTTGTAGAAGAATTTGAAGGGTGTATGAGTAGTTTTAATTTCTCTTTCACTATTCAATCTAGAGAGGAATTGTTAACGATTAAAGATGAAATTAGACAACTCAGAAGCTTGTTAGAAAATATTAATGGTTCTCCTAATAATAATACTAAACAATCCCACGATGAATTTTTCAAAGGAGTGGATGCTGTAACTGGGAAAAACAAGGAATTTCAAAAACAGAATAGGCATATAGACGCGAATCCGTCTGATTTGATAACATGCATAGATCATGATGAACCATTGCTCGATGGAGGTCAATATCAACAAACCGGTTGCTTTTGTTCAAAGAAAATCGAAAAACGTCAATCAATTAATGATTTTCAGTTTGTTTCATTTAAAGAATTTTCAAATAATTCTTCTTCTTCTGTCTTGGACCAGTCTCAAATTGAAATTAGAAGACAAGTTAATATTCTTAAGGAATTAAAAGATTCTGACCACATCATAAGATTCTTTGGTGTTGCTGAAGAAAATTTTAAATTTTACCTAGTTACGGGGTGGATGGAACATGGAAACCTATATGAATATTACACAAATCAAACTGAACGAATGACTTGGCCAACTAAAATTAAATTTGCTTTGGATATTAGTTGTGGGGTCGCCTATTTAAATGGTTGTCAGGTAAATGGTGAACACCTTTATTATTTCTTCTTTTCTTTTTTTTTTCATTGAAACGTTATTATTTTTTAAACAAAAATAAACCAAATTGTAGATTCTTCATCATGATATTCAGTCTGCAAATATTTTAGTAAATAATGATCATAAAGTAAAAATAGCAAATTTTGGATTAAGTAAAAAGTTTTCGGAATTTACCAGGAACATTTCACATAATATTGAAAATGTGAGATATATGGCTCCAGAAAAATTATTAATAGATGAAAATGAAAATAACACCACACAAGGTGAGCGTGTTAGTAATGACATGAAAAGAAAAAAAGTTCCTTATGATTCCAAATGTGAAATTTATAGGTAAATTATATTTCTTTAAATTGCATTTTTTCTTTTCTTTAAACAAGTTATTAATTTTCTCTTTTCTAACTTTAAACTTTTGTCTTTTTTTTTATTTAATAGTGTTGGAGCATTATTATGGGAGATTGCTGAACTAAAAAAACCACATTCTGACCTTAATAAATCTGAAATGCTCGTTAGTATTAGAAAACGTGTTCGTGACAAATATCGTGAACCACTTTCAGCTGAAGTGCCCGATATTTGGAAATTTTTAGTAAAGATGGGTGAGTAAAAGCGATTTAAATTATAATTAAGTAATACAATTCTAAAGAATCTTTTTCAATTTAGCTATGGAACAGGAACCACAATGGCGTCCTACAATATTTCTTATTTGTCGCACACTTTCAGACTTGAATGAAAAATATTCCTGTCTAATGCCTAATTCTCCTTTACCCAATTTAAAAGATGATGAGGATTTAACAATAGATAACCATCCAATGTCTCAAACACCCAGAATTCTCTCTGTTGAAGAAGCAATTCAGGAACATAAATCAAATAATGGAAATAAACAATTAGCATGGCAAAGTTTCAAACATCATTCAGAAACCAATATTGATGCAAAATATTGGAAAGGGTACTATTATTTTTATGGGGAAATTCCCGAATTACAACAAATGGATCAACAAGAAAGGAATCGAATTGCTTTAGAAATCTTTAGAGAAACGGCCGATAAAGGGAATGCTTCTGCGCAGTTAAGATATGGAATGTATTTATGGCAAATTTGTAATTATTCAGAGGCTTTTAAATATTTAGAAAAGTCTGCCGAGTCAGGGAATTCAACTGCTATGTATAACATTGGAAGCGCCTATTGGAATGGCAATTTTGTTGAACAAGATAAAATGAAAGGTGCCAATTATTTAATAGAAGCCGCTAAGAAAAATCAGCCTAAAGCCATAGAGATGTGTAGGATTAATAAAATTATATTCATATGAGAGTGTTTAATTAGTTTAATTACTCGAAATTTCATTATTAAATTAGTTGGCACAAAAAATTTAATTTGATATAAGAACGTTAGTATTATTATTTTTTAAATAAATTGTAAATTATCTTTTTTTGTTTTCTCATGAAATAATGACAGAAGAATGTACTAGCAGTCTATAATAATGGTGATCTATAAATACTAATAAGTTTTTACATTTAGATTGTTAGATTGTTCTCTAAAAAATGATTAAAGTCTTGGGGTATTGAATTATATATTCTTTTAGTAATTATTATAATCATTTGTAACGTGTGTTTTTATTATTTAATATACAAAAATTAATGGGTAATATGGAATTTCTTCTCTCATTGAATTGCTCATTTCATTCAGTATTTGCTCGTTTGTAGCATCGATGGCAGCCAGTTAATGCCGATATATGACCGCACAATTTTCTGGGAGCTTGAATATTAGTGTAAATTATGATTTCATAATAAAGGTAATGTATTTCAATGGGACTAAATATAATTAATGACTTTAAAAGAATGGATGTTGCTCTTGAGATAGTGTGAGAATTAGATTTCCCGTTTGTCACGCCACGTGTTTCCTTCATATATTCGATGTATTCGAATTATTTTATTATTAGTAATAGTTTTTAATAATAATTTGAGCATTGTAAAGGACAAGAACCACCATTTCCATTTAGTATAGCGCAATCTATTCAAATTACAGATAGTACGTCAATTCTGATTGGATATTTGAATATTATGTCCACTCACGTGCTCAGGACTCATAGTATTAGTAGATAATTAAATTAAATGATTTTCAATGCTCCCCGTCCATAAATGCTAATTTTGGCGATTCATTTTTGAGTAACATATTAATTAGCCTTTCAATAAGAAATAAGAAATCTATTTACAAATAAATACGTAAATGATTTTCACCTGATTCTTTTAATTTAACTAAAATTTCTTTGAACATGCATATCGATGAATAATCTTAAATAATTCCCCCCTTTTTTATCTACAAATATATATTTTTAAATTTTTTTTTTTTTGGTCATTACTTTATTTCTTCATTATGCATTCATATGGATTATTTTCGGCTTCTGAGCAAAATATTCTACAGCAAAAACCAATTCCTTTACAAAATGTTAAAGTCTCGGCGAAAGGTTGGTTATTCTTAAACTTGTTTTATAAAAAAAATTTTCATTAATTTTTTTTTCTCTCGAAAAATTTTCCAGTTATTGATGTGATTTCCGAAGGTAAATTATTTTTTCGCTGTTAGTTATGTGTAACTTTAAGCATCATCCTGAGACGTATTCTTGAATAAAATTTTTATTGATCCACAGTAACAATTTACCAAATTTATAAATACTCTGAATCTAATCAAAGTCAAGCGATTTATAAATTTCCGATTCTTCCCTCTTCTGCAATTTGTGATTTTGAATTTAAAGTTGATGGCCGAGAAATCAAAGGAATAGTTGAAGAAACTGAACAAGCTACTAAAGAATATGAAGAAGCGATTAAGGTATTTATATTATTAATAATATTAAGGAAAAAAAATTTTACAATTTTTAACAATTGTTAGGATTATTAGGATGGATATATTGCATGTACGATTGAAGATCAATCTCCCGATTTATTTTATTGTTTTGTCGGTACAATATTACCCGGTCAAACAATCGAAATTCGATTAATCTATGTCTCGGAACTTCGACAAGACACGAAATCAGAAGGAATTAAATTTATCCTTCCAACAGCAATCGCACCAAAATACAATTATTATTCTTTAGAAAAACAGCTTGAAGGAAAAAATTTTGAGTTTGAAAATAATTTAACCGAATGTGAATTGGAAAGTTGTAAAATAGAAATATCGGTGACGTGTAGAATGACATCAGTTATAACTAGTATCGAATCACCTACTCATGCAACTATATCTGAAGTGGATGCTAATAATGTGAGGCTAGCTAGAGTGGATTTAAATGAAAAGATTGGTTATTTGGAAAATGATTTCGTTCTCGTGTTTTCAAGTCAAGGATTAGATAAGCCGAGGTGAACAAACAATATTATTTTTTTTTTGATCCGAATTCATTTGTTGTTATCATAATAATGTTAATATTTATTATTCTATATTCTAAAGAGCATTATATGAATATGATCCAGATACGGATACGAATTGTGTCATGCTCACGCTGGCACCGCAGTGTACGCTTTACACGGGTGAGACCGAATTTATCTTCATCGTTGACATGTAAGTAAAAAAACTTTCATGCGTAATTATTCCTAAAATTCTCAATAACTTGAACTTTGTTTCCCCTTTTCTACACATCAAAGATCATTTAGTCAGACATTAAGAAAAATTATGAAAGCATTGGAATTAGCGATCTATTCGCTTCCCGAAAGTTCCCTTTTCAATATAATATCACAAAACACATATCTTTTTCCCAATAAGAGTCAACAATACTCGCAAAAAACGTTTGATGCGGCTATTGAATTCTTACAATCTCAACAAATTAATTCTAATGAATTCAATTTACAATCTACGCTTCAATCAATATTCGGCACATTATCAAACGTTCCTACAAAAATATTTTACATAACGAATTCTTATTCAATTATACACCAATTTGAACAACTTGTAGAACTGTTTCGACAGCAAAGAACAGTCAATGACGAATCAAATTTTTTTACGTTATTTATTGGAGATGATAATAGCAATGATATTTGTAATTGTTTTGAATTTTTAACCAAATTAGGAAAGGGCTATTCAACGTTTGCTAAATGTGATGACGCATATGAGATAAAGATAATTTCAATCGTGAAAAATTCTTTGGAAATCCCTTTAATCAATTACGAATTTCATCATTTGGAAGATTCAGAAAATATTGATGTAGAATTAATAGATTATAATAAAGAAGTACTAGATGATGTTGAAGGTAACACTGAAGAATCTAGTCATAATCTTGATGATTCCATTTATATCATTCCTAATAATGAAGATTATGAAGAAAATCATGAAGAATCTAGTCAACAACTTGATAGTTCCATTTACATCATTCCTAATATATCTCATAATAATAACCACCAGACACTTAAATTTCAACAAGCTCCTACGGAAATTCCTTTAATTTATAATAAACAAAACTCTGTAGTTTATTTCCTTTTAGATAAAGGAATTAAACCTTCTAAAAAGATTTCTGTTATGGCACAATCTCAACAAGGTTTAGTTCAGTTTCATGTGTCGTTAGATCCACGTGCTCTAAATTTCAAATTTATTCATACCTTGGCCGCAAAGAAATTCATTGAAGAAAATGATCCAATCCAAGGGAAACCTTTTATTGGTTCAAATCCAAAGATCAAGGATCAGGTTATATCATTAGGTAAAATGTATAATATAATTTCAACTTACACAAGGTATACATTTAAAGCTTTATTTGTTGATAGAAACAAAATCATTAATTTTTTTATTAATTAAATCAATGAATCTACATATAAATTTTCATTTTGTAGTTTTTTGGCCATTCATAAACGGGAAAAATCATCAACCTCAAAAGAATTTATCAATAAACCCATTTCAATCTTTCATCATCGCAAACCAAATTACAATTCATCCACATATTTTAATTTTAAAGATTTCACGAAAAGGCTTATTCCACCTTCTAATACATCGACATCAACGTCATCCGAATTAAATGATTTAAATGATTTAAATATAAATTCCGGTTCATTATCAAGATATACCGACAATTTAACATCTATCACTTCAAACCTACTTTCGAATCCAGTATTGTTTGTAAAAGATGGTGTAGATGAAGTAATGAATAAATATTCATATGAAACGTTAACGTTAGGTATAAGGCACAAACATCCGATTTATTATTTAGGTAATGGAATGGTTACTTATGGTTCTGCGGTGTATCAGGTTGTGAGAAAATTTGAACGTTTTCCCATTTTTGGTGGATTATTTGTTAAACCTGTGGTAAGGTTTATTGATGATTCTGTTATAAACAAGACAAGGGAAGAATTAAGTTTTGAGGATTTTGATAAACATTTTAAAGAGAATATTTTTGAATCAAATGAAGAAATGGTTAATCCAAGAGTCGTTCACGTAGAAACTTTATTTAGCTTTTTGAAATTATTTTCCTTTGATGGAAGAATCTTGAACGAAAATAGTTTTTATGAATTTTTTGGGAAAGGTAACGCTAACGTTTTAGATCAAATGAATTTGACAGTTGACGACGATGTTGAATGTTGGTTGATTGCAATTTCTTTAGCTTATTTTGAAATAATTTTATGGGAAGAATTTAAGGAAGAGTCTAGCATGTGCTATCAGAAATCCGAAAAAGCTCTCAAACAGATGATCCTAGTCGAGGATGGAGAAGATTTCAATGAGAAATATAATGAATTATTAGAGAAAGCTCGTGAATGGATAAAGTGTTGGTTAGATAATGTCTATTGGCATTAACTCTTTTTTTCTATTATTATTAAAATTGAATTTTGTATTCCAAATAAAAACCGAAATATTATTAGATTATTTATGTTGTATAACTCGTTACGACAGCATTTATGTGATCAGCGAAATGTTGCTCATCAGCAACAACATTTCACAATTAATAAACACAATTGTGGATTAAAATCATGTGACTCGCTAAACTTAATTCAGATTTCTAAATAAGGTATTTTTGGTAATTGCTTGAAACAAAAAAAAAAAATTACCTTACGGAATATAGTAAATCATATGAACCGTATTGCATTTTTTGAAAGCAATCGGAAGTTAAATTCCATATTCTGCAAAATGTGCAGATCAGATAGGGGCTAGCAAAAGAATGATTTTGGAAATACACATACATCGCCAAGAACTATTAATAGATAATCTTAAATAAAACGGTTTATTCAAAACAATTACTGTGCCTAATAACAAATTTTTTTTTATTTCGGAAACTGGTGATAAAAATTCTTAAAATAATGAATGAACGGAAATTTCCGAAAGTTAACTTTCAATACACCTCAATTTAGAATCATCATTTTATAAAATAAATAGTTGAAAGTATTTTGTAGTAGAAGATTTATAAACAATGTCATATCGCATAACGACCTTATCCATATTTTTTTCAAGTACAAACTGTACCCCTGACTTAATTATAATTTCCGAAATGGTATTGATAAAGGTGATCGTTTTCAAGAAGTATAAAAAGGTAACGGTTCAAATTAAAAAATTTAAAAAAAAATAACAATTCCCAAATTCGATAAATGACTTTTATACCATCATACCTAAAAGACTCTCCATTTGAGAGGATACATAATATTTCAAGAGAGCCTTTTGATTTACCAAAACAATGGAACACTTACGATTCAAACCATGGCTTACAAGTAATTGATGACGAGAAATTAAAAATTTTATATATAGGTTAGTAATTAAGAAGGAAAAAAATTCCTTATGTTACAACAATTTATATAACATTTTTCTTTGGCATACTCAGGAGCCGGTCGAAATGACGGCGATGCAGCATCAATTCGAACAAATAACTCGATACCGATTGAAGTCGGTTTATATTATTTTGAAGTCTGTATAACGGACGCGGGTGAATCAGGGTAAATATAACACATTTATGCATTTCAAAGTTTATCACAATATTGAGAATTCTCCAAATTCCATAAATTAGATTTATTGGTATAGGATTTGGTGTTCATAATGCGTTCCTTTCGAAATTACCGGGTGAGTTTCTTCTGTTGATTGATCTGGCAAAACTGCTGCGCCAATTTATCTTTTTAAGGTATTTTTACCATCCGCAGAAATTCCTTATTAAAGCGACACCTTCCTTTTATTATTAGGATGGGAGCCAAATACTTTTGGTTACCATGGTGATGACGGAAAGAAATTTCGGTCATCATCAACTATGGGATATATTTATGGTCCATCTTTCACAACTGGTGATACAATTGGTTGCGGAATAAATTTTTTTAGTCAAACTGCTTTTTACACAAAGAATGGGATTTGGTTAGGTAATACTATTTGAAATCTTCTTATCAACTCATGAATTTCCTAAGCTTGATAAAAAAATTATACGTTGATTAATAGGAAATGCATTTGATGACATTACCCCCGGCGATTATTATCCTATGATCGGTTTGCGTACAAGGGGTGAATGCGTTGAAGCAAATTTTGGTGAAAGACCATTTTTATTTGAAATCGAAACTTACGCAAAGGTAAATTTTCAAAAAAAAATAATAATTTTTATTTTTAAATTGATATCGATCTCACGTATTTTACAAAATAGGTAATATTAAAAAATGTCGAAAAAAAAAAAGCAGAAGCGTAATGTTATGACGAAAATTTAAAAATGCAAGGAAAAAATTTTAAACCTTTCGCTCAACAAAATGGACGGTTTGCACGTTCGGATCATATTCGGATCATATGAATTACTCACTCGATCATCTCAATGTGTTACATTTATTATATTTGAATGAACAAATTGACATTTAAAAAGATCAACTCCCCGAATTTTTATCGACACACATAAACAGTAAATTATTATTTTACAGTATTTTATATTTAAAATGATTATATAATTGTACATTAATTACATTAATTCAATAATAAGTTTCTCCTTATACTAGAGAACATAAAAAATAAATTATTATTATTTTGTATACTTTTTTCAATGGGACGAAACTTTTATTTTTTAATTAAATTTCAAACTAAACATAAATTTAGGTGTAATGCATTTTGAAAGATAATATGAAGAAAACGGGCATTTTGTTTGGTGTCTATAAAGGAAGCGTTAGAATGAACTTTGATAACTACAATTAATAAATAGTAGGGATGTTAAACGGTCCCAAATGACTATAAACAAATATTGAAATTGAAAAGTCTGATCGCTTATCTATAATAAGTAACCCTTGATAAATAATTGTAATAAATTTTATGAATAACTTATAAAAGAAATATGAACTTTGGAATCGACAATTAACATGGGACCTCCCGGTCCTTAGGACCGGGTCCTAAGTTTCAAAAATTAAGATTCTGGGTTCCCGCATAAGTTTAATATATATTTTTAATTTATATTCAATTAACAAATTATCATTAGAAACTAAAATATAATGCCAGTAAAATAAAAATCTTCTCTAGAACTGGCAAATTTATTGGGACTTTTAGGACCGTTTAGGACCGTTTAACATCCCTAATAAATTAAGTTTGGCTTTAATATCTTTAGACATCTGTTTTTAATTATGCCTTATATTTTATACCGTTCAACAATCATTTAGTGCTCATATAACTCTTCAAATATTTATATGAAGAATTTATAAAACAAAATGTTGAACTCTTTAATAACTTTTAAAAGTTGCCAATTTAATTAGATAATGCAGTAAATGTTATGTTGCTGGCAAAACCTGTAAGTATAACAAAGTTGTCTAAATGGTAAAGGTAAAACTCGAAAAAGAGATATTAAAACCTCATAAAAAACTAAACTAAGTAAAAAGGTAAAACTAAATTAAACCTTATTAAAAAGTTGCGAAATTGAAATCCAAATAGGTTTAGACAAGCAAACCTAAGTAGAAGTATTGTTACTAATAAAAAAAAAAATAAATCAAAGTTTAATTAAATGTTCAACGAGAGTATTTATTATACTTTAATAATTAAATAAATAAATAAATCAAATAAAGTCAAATTAATAAAATATTAATAGAAAAGCTTAAAAATTTTATTTAAACTTAATTATTTAAATACTTCTATAATAAGTTATAATATAATGAAAAATTATTAGTATTTTTTTTTTTATTTGCCTTTTCTTTTAAAATTTTTTCTAATTTAATTTATATTTAAAGGAAATATTAAAGCAGATAAAAAATTTTACTTTTAATAATTCTTTTTTATAATTAATAACTTATTCTTTAAATTATATAGCAGGCAAATTTGCTTGAGAAATTAAAAAAATTGTATTTTCTTAATAAAATATAAAATATTAAGTAATATTATTATATAAAACATATATTTTATTATATATTTATAAATTTATTAGTAAGTATTATAAAAATTCATATATTTACATATTATTAAATAACTTTATTAACAAAAATTATAATAATAAAATTTTTCATAATAAAATTTTTAGTATTATTATACATGTCATGATAATTGTTTTACCAAAAATGTAATACAAAACTCAAAAAATGTAATACAAAATGTAAGTATGTAATTACGTCATCATGCAATTTATAATTTACCAGAATTAAGAATTTAAGCTAAATTTTAATGAACTTTAATTTAATGTAAAATTTTAATATATAATAATAATTTTCTGTACTTAGTACTTAGTATTAATAAGTCTTATTTAATTATCAAAATCTTGTAATATTTTAAAATTATTGATAATTTTGCTAAATATTTAAAATAATAGAAATCTAGCCTAATTAATATAGTTTTATGTATTAATTAAAAATATAAAAAATCAAAAAATACATAATATTTATTAATAACAAAACATCAAAATACTTATTCCAATTTTTTTTTGATGTGACTCTGTTAATTATTTTATTAAGATTTATAGATTCTTCTGAAGAAAATAAAAGAAATTACAAGTAATAAAAACAAAATAAAATAAACTATCTAATAATCTAGACTAAATGTTAGCTATCTCCTGATAATAGAATATGTAAACATACCTATTTGTTTAGATCAACCTATCATCATCAATTTTCTCATTTAGATCCAAAGGAATTAGCCAAATGATTACTAAAATCATCAAGAAAAGAAAAATAACATATCAGAACTTGTTTAAAAATCTGTCCACTTATATTCATATGTAAGAATAAGTTGAATCCATAACTTCCAAGTATTAGTCAGTACTATGCTATTATTATAAGACAAATGTATACACTTCTTCTTTATGTTTTTCATATCAGAAGTGATGTGTTTTGATAATTCTCTAACATTTATAAGAGAGTAGTGATACGATCAAATTTCAGTAAATAACTACTCATAAAGAGCAATGATTGCAGTTATGAAAATCCTATTAGTTTTTTTAAAAGATCCAATCAGATTTGTAAGATCATCAAATAATACAGAAGATAATTTCCCTTGAATTATAAGTAGAAAGAAACTAATTTTATCTGATGGGTATGCAAAATGTTTATTTAGAAATAATTCTACTAGAAAGAAATTGAAGTAAAAAGAGAAGGAGAACAGCTTTTTGAAATCAAGGTTATGATCTGAGACTTTATGTTAGAAATGATAGTTATAAGTTTCAATGAATAAGCATCACATGATCATAAATGAGCAGCTATCTTAATAGTTAAATTGCATTTTACGCAGTTCCAATTTTTGTAAAGATCTGGTCTTAATTTTTCTAGACAAGATAAAGTGAGTAGCTCTCCTAAAAAAATCTTCATTATGAACAAATAGAGTTTTTTTTGTTAAAAAGAAGTTGTGTAGGTAGACTGATCTAATATAAAGATAGACCAGATAGTATTCCAATTGACTCTTGCCTTCATGTTAAGCTTTTGAGATCATCATTTCTATGCAAATCAATAATATTAGAGATTGCAGTAGCAGCAAAAATATCTTTAATGAAGTGTCTTGTTGAGGATTCTATAATAATGTCATCAAATTGAAATAATAAATTGAGAGAAGGAACTTATAAGTAGTCGATTGAAATCACTGGTAATTGAGTTTCTAATCTGGCTAGATTATCAGCTATATTATTATAAATATCACCACTATATCCTTTTACTTTGATGAGTGTAACATTGAGGTCAAATAGATCTACAATATATTTGATTGTCTTTCAAAGAGTATAATTAGATACTTTTTCAAATTTTCAAATAGAAAAATTGTTGTTGATAATATAAGAGCTAAATCTATGTATTATAGTCATACTGTCAGTGTAAATGGTTACATTAGAACTATTGAGAGAAACAATCAATGCTGTGAGAAGTGCAAAGATTTCAGCTATAGTTGATGAAATCTAATTAATTACAAAGGCATGAAAAGAGAGTTATTGATTCAAACAGATCCATCCTATTCCCATTTTACATTAGTCTGTAGTAAAATAAATCAATAAGCTATCTGTATAAAAAGATAAAAAAGTAGAGAAGGAAAAAGAAATGGTTATTTCAGAAAAAGGATCAATATATTAAGATTCATAAAGGTTTGGGAGTTTGAACAATTTATCCAAATTCCTAAAAATCTCACAGAATTTTGCTCAGGTGTTATATTAATAGCAAAAGAACTAAAGTTGATGCTGATGGATTGAGATATAAACGATTTTGTAGTAATAAGCTGTAATTTGGATTTGTTTAGAGCAGCTTTAGTTAGATCATACAAAAATCTTTTCTAAATTTTGTTGAGAGTCAGCAATCCAGTTAGTATCATTCATGAAGGTCAAGGAAGAAATGGATTCTGTAAGAGTTATAGTGGAGCTGCTGATGATATTGTTTATCTATATATGTAAGATTTTGTATCCTTTGTTTAAAGTGTCTACTTTACATAAAAGTGGATCAAGATAAATGCACCATAGTAATTGAGAAATAACTTTTCTTGATCTATACCAATTTTAACATCATAGTAATCAATGAGCCTATCAGCTATAAAAATGGCATTTTTTCTATTGATGAAGAGATTGATGATCAAATCTACATATTTAGGAGAAATTTGATTTGATGTAAAGTGAAATAAAGAAATTTAAGGTCTATATAATCATAGACCTTTGAGAAATCTTGCAATAAAATCTATAGTTCTTTATTTTTTTCATTAGTATTTTCTAACATTTTCAGAATTTTTATAGGTTATTCTGTAGAACTTCCAGATATCTTAGCAAAATTATTGTCTTTCAAAACTTGATGTTTGACAAGGATTTTAGAGAGTCTGTTAGTAACTACTTTGATAAAGGTTTTCTGTAAGATTTCTAATGGAGATATTAAACGGGTCTTAGTAATGTTACATTTCTATTCCATTGGTTTGATAATTGAATAAACATATGCGATTTTCCATTCATTAGGAGTGTTACTAATAGTAAAGCATATGCAAATCAATTGCCAAACTAAGTGTTTAAATTTATCTTCTAAATGTTAAAACATTTCAGTATAGATACCTGAAGGTCCTGCTACTTTATCTTTTGTAAAGTGCGAGAGAACTGAATACCATTTATTATATGTTGGAGTTTGCATAAGATTATTATAGATGTTATCAGATACATAATCCCTTAGCTGGTATTGTACAATCCATTTACCTTTCAAAGATCTTGGAAGTATTGAGGATAATGTATTATTCTGGAAGTAGTTGATTATAACTTTTTTGATTTCATTGGGATCTAATATGAAATATTTAGAACTATTATCATTATTGATGAACACTAGATCCAAAGTTATTATCCATTTTTCCTCTATAAGATAGAATCTATCATTTTGCTAGGCTGAGATATTAATTAATCACATCTTTTCTCAATAAATGATTTGATTTGTACATCAATATTTTTTTTTAGCATTCATCTTAGTTAGCTTATATAGGACTTTGTAAATACTATTAAGAGATTTTTTAACTGCTTTAACATTTAATGGATTAAGAAAAAGAGGTAGAAAATCTAAAGGATAAGAAATATCTTTGATAATAATAGTTATAATTATTAGATTATGTTTCCATTCATTACTAATAGGCCATAGCCTTTCTAATATTCTTTTAGAATAAAATTTTAAAAGAATCTTTTCAATTTTAGTAAGTGAAGGGTAGTATTTAGAGAGCTCTTTAGGTTTAGATGCACGGTCTTATGAATAAATCCATTTATGAAAGATATTATGATTATTAATGGCTAAAACAGCTTGTTTTAGTTTCATCCACAAATAGTTCATATTAGTATGATTGGGCTGAAGATCTTTCAATCAATCAAAGTTATGGTTGTTGTAATACGTATTATAATATTCAGCAAATCTTGTTTATTTTGAAAAATCCATGGATTTGAGAAGAGGAACTTTTCTTTTAATATTATTGATCCTTGAATGAGCTTGAGATTCTTGTTGTATATCAGAAAAATAGGCAATAACAATTTTATGGTTTGAATTGCAAAGGTATGAATAAATTATATTACAATAGAGAAAGTCAGAGACGAGATTTTGAAAAGCAAAAATAGCATCAATATGACTAGAAGTATTCGATCTTTTGTATGTAAGTAAGGGCAGGGTTGGGAATTTTATAGTACTAGATAAATTTAATACTGTATTTGTACTAATTTCTTATTAATTATTATAATGTACTAACTGTACTAATTATACTAATCATTGTATTAATACTGTATTTTTCAACCCTAGATAAGGGTTATCATGACATATGTCATATAAATTCAAGAAGTTTCTAAGTACAAGATCATATACAAAATCATACTTTCAAGGAATAGTTTTATCAGAATCAATTATATGTTGTAATTTGTTCAGATCTGTATTGAAATCACCCATAATGATAACATGAAAACTAGAGTATAAACTATTATCTATAAGTCATAGTAATGTTGATTGTAAGACTTTTCTTTCTTTAGATTAAGTAGCATAGATGTAAATTGAGAAGACTTTTAATTTGATAGATATAGATCAACATAAATTTAACGATCATTATCCAAAAAATTTTTCGCAATATATTTAGACCAAGATTTGCTGATAAGTAGACCAACACCTAAAAACTTATTAGAGACAGAGCTCTAAAGTGTATTAAAATTGGTTAGAAGAACATCTATATGATTGTAAAAACTGATGCCAAGTTTCAGATAAAGCAACAAAGTTAACATTCTTTTGATAAAAGGTTTCAAGTATCTTGCTATTTTTAACATCATCATGAAGAGAATAAACATTATGTATAGCAAAGGTAAGAGTGTTTCTATTTAAAATTAAATTTCTATCATCACTATGTGAATTTTCTAAGTCATTGTCAATAATAAGGGTGAGTTGATTATGTGATTAAAGTAAATTATGAGGAAGGGAAGCATTATTATTAATTATATTTATAGGAAACATTTGAGGTAATAAAATATTATTCATTGTATTAATCATGAATGGATATATAAAAAAAGGTATATCTAAAAGTGAGATGTGTTTGCATCAAGCGTAAATTATTCAATCTGTTTGAACATTAAATTTAACTGTCTTTTTTATTCAATTATAATGGCAGCTTGTTTATTAATTATATTAATTAGGTCAGGTTTTGAAGTCAAAGTTTGTGAAGTTAAAGACTCATCACGTGATGATCCAGCAATACGAGACCTTTTGTTGGATGTATCTTGCAATCTTGAAATTAATGGAAAGGTTGGTGTAACTATTACAGGTTCTCTTTCTTTATTGATGATGAGTAATGGGATCACAGGGGTCTTGATATGAGAAAAAGCTTGAAAGGTCTCTAATTTAGCAATTCTTGCATCTAAATCATTTATATCTTTTTTCATATTGAAAAGAATGGAAAGAATTTGGTCAAGCTTATTATTAATATCATTATTAGGGTTATGAATAGAATCATTTACAGTTGGTTTAATGATAACTTTTGATGATAAAGGTGGAGAAATATTCTTATTTTTGATGGTCTCAGAATATGATTTAGAAGAACAATTGGATCTATTAGAATCCACAAATTTTCTAAAGCCAGCAGGTTTAAATTTGTTGTAAAGTCTTTATATAAATTATTTTGAGTAGGTGACTTTGGTTTAAAGGTTTCATCATTTTCATTTGGTAAGACTGATTTTTGTAAAAAAGGGCATTTTATGATAAGATGTAAAAGATCTTTACATTTATGACAACTTCTAGCATCATGAAAACATAATAATAATTAATTATTGTTAAAAGTAAAGTTTTGTTGAATTGCTTGATTAAGAGCCTCCTCACTTTCAAAATGTAGAATAACAAAAGAACAAGATTTATAGTTAGTGAATCTTGAAATATAACTAATTATGGCTTTAGTTGCAAGCATTATATCATAAGGTCTCTTGCAATAGTACTAAAAGGAAGATTTGTTAATTTGATATAATGGTGTTTCTATATTTAACTTTCTCAGGAGTCAAAGTGCAAGGATTGACATGAACAGAATCATTTTGGACGAATCGACTCCACACTTGATAGAATAATTCAATGTATTTAGAAGTTTTGTAAGTAATATAGGCATATTGCTACATACCTCTTACTATTATTCTAAAATTGGTAATAGTCCCATACTTGACAAAAACTTGTTTGATATTTACAGGTTTTATTTGCAATAGAATATCAGTAATATGAATAATTCTTTCATTGAATTGCATATCAGTTTTGTATTGGGTAAAATCAAGGAATTTTTTGATCTTAAAATTAGGAATAGTCATGTATAGAGCTGCGGTAGCTACGTCTGACATTATAAAATAGATAATTACAGAATGTGTCAAATTTATGTGACAGACTGATATTCTTTTGAAGTCATCATTTTGAGTAAAAATATTGTTAATAGCTAGAATAATTTTTCTGTTATTTTTTTCTTTGAAGGTAAACTTGATACTATTAGTAATTGCAAATAATGTAGCTTTAATAATAATGGTAAAATCTTTTAAACCTTCTTCCATATTATTATCTTCAAGATGTTCGTCAGGGTTTAAAAGTTTTGACCTATCTTTAAATGATGAAGAGTTTTCAAAAATATTATCAACTTTCATGTTATTGTTGTTATTATTATTTGAGGGTGAAATAACAGTTAAAATTTTATTAATAATGGCAATTTTAGATACGTCATAAATTTCAAACTCTATTTCTTTATTTGATAATAAGCCAAAAAATTTTTAGATGATTTCTAAATCAAGGTTGAAGGGAACAGAAGTTAAGATTGAAGAAATCGAAGGAGCTGGTGGAGAATTAGCAGCTTTTTTAGGGCTTTAGAAGTGATGTATGGAATGAACTTAGGGTCACTATTTTTTTGTCATTTTATGATGCTTTTACAAGTCATAACTTTCTCTCGTAAAGTAAAAGATGGGGTAAAACAAAAGAAGTTTCCTTTATACTAGATTTATTAATTAATTTTTTGTTAAAAACAAACTTTTAAATTTTTTATTTTTCTATGAAAATTTTGGTTTTGTAAAATAGGGGAAAGAGTTTTATTTCAATTTTTTTTTTTTGATGTGAGTTTGCCAACTATTTTATTAAGATTTATAGACTTTTCTGAAGAAAATAAAAGAAATTACAAGTAATAAAAATAAAACAAAATAAAAACTATCTAATAATCTAGACTAAATGTTAGCTACCTTCTGATAATAGAATATGTAAACATACCTATCCATCTAGGTCGACCTATTATCATTAATTTCCTCTTTTAGACCTAAAAGAACTAGCCCAATGACTACTAAACTCATCAAGAAAAGAAAAAGAATATGTCAGAACTGGTTTAAAAATCCGTTCATTTATATCTATATGTAAGAGTAAGTTGAATTCATAATTCCTAAGTATTAGTCAGTACTATGCTATTATTGTAAGACAAATGTATACATTTCTTCTTTATGTTTTTCAAAGAAGAAAAGAAGTTTTATTGAGAACATTATTACAAAGAATTCTCTATAGAATTTTGGAAAGAATCTAGTATTTATCTCTCCTTCAGTCAAGACTATACATGAAGTCGAAATGAAAACCCAAAAGTCGAAATGTTTCGACTTTGGAGGTCAAAGTCGAAATGAAAAGT